AGAGAGAGAGAGAGAGAGAGAGAGAGAGAGAGAGAGAGAGAGAGAGAGAGAAGCTAGGGAGTTAGAGAGGGCAAAAAAGAGCGGGACTGACATTAAAAATACGTAGGCAGCAAAGGAATGAACGGAAGAAAAAAACCACGAAAAACACCAAAGCAGGTAAGGCAAGGGAGTCCATGACCGGGGTGCCCACATCTGGAATTTGAACTGGGGTCATCCGCAGCCTAGCCTCACATGATACATGAACAACTGAGCCCACGGCACGCCTCCACCCATCTGTTGTACGTGTACATAGTGTTGTTGAAAGTACATGGCCCATCTGTTGTACATGTACAAAGTGTTGTTGAAAGTACATGGCCCATCTGTTGTACATGTACATTGTGTTGCTGAAAGTACATGACCCATCTGTTGTACACGTAGTGTTGTTGAAAGTACATGACGTTTTATGTACTAAGACAGTTGGTGACAAGAAATAGTACTTAGCAGAACAAGAAATAGTACTTAGCAGAAGACTATCCCATTGGGGATTCGAACCACAGCCTTGCAGACTACCATGATATCCATTAAGCCAACGATTAATATCACCTGAGCCAACAGAGAGTTTTGGCGACTACTCCTTCTGTATACTGTATATATATTTATATTACATAGCCAACGAAGGTGGTAGGTAGGAGGGCGCCACTGGTAGGTCCTACTTCTTTACTTTGCCTCTGTTGTTTCTGTCTGTCTGTCTGTCTAACTTTTTCCCAGCACTAAATGACCATTAGTGTATCGGCGTGTTTCTCTTTACTCAAACAAACAAACAAAACAAGAAGTGACAACTGACATGGGCAGGGGAACAAATCACAAACTATTCAGACCCCCGTAACAACACGTTCGCGAGGACTCCAAAGTTTACTCACGGCTCATGCTGTGTAACACATCTTGTACACAATTTGTACCCAGGCTATCCCTCTATACATAATGTTGTAGAGGACATCTTCTACCCAGACTATCTCTATGCAAAGTCTTCAAAGTGTTATATATATTTATATGACTTGCCAAAAGGAACTAAAAAATATAAATATACAGGCATGTCTAAATAATTTTTAAAAATCCGGACAATTTCAGAATTCCGGATTTATCCAGAAAATCGACACCTGGCTGATTTATTTTGTAAGTTTGTTTTTTTTAACATTTTAATTTATCATTGTTTCCACGGGAGGAGGGTGAAGAGTTTTATGAAGGGGGTACATGACGTAGTCTTTCGTCTGTTGTCCTTGTGTTGTTCAGCTTCCTGGCGAAATGTGGCTATCGTCTTACCGGCTAGCCGTGCAATGTTACCTTCTCATCTCATCCGTGTGCCGTGTGCTGCTTTAACGGTAACAGTTTTACGGCGCTCTCGTTGCTCTCGTTTTTGTTTTTAAGACTCCCCCCGCTGTTTTTAACCACTTTACCACAGACCCCGGTGTCTACCGATTTATCTTTTTA